TGGTTTTTAAAATTCATTTATATATAATAATAAAAATGTTTTTACCTGAAAAGTGACAGAAAAGTGACAAAACATGTACGAAGAAATCATGAAAATTCAAGAGGGTAGAAAAGAGGTTAGAAAGAGTTAGATCTAACCTTCTACCCTAAATTATATTTTTGGGTCCTTTACACTCATTACGATGAAGAAGTCTTGACAAAACATTTACGATGAAATCATGAAAATTCAAGAGGGTGAGAAAACAGGTGAAAAAACGGGTGAGATCTCACCTCTTCACCTAAACATTATTTTGTCTGATTTTACGAAAGAATTTTGACAAAACATTTACGAAGAAGTCTTGACAAAACATTTACGAAGAAGTCTTGACAAAACATTTACGTTCATGTTTGACAAAACATTTACGAAGAAGTCTTGACAAAACATTTACGAAGAAGTCTTGACAAAACATTTACGAAGAAGTCTTGACAAAACATTTACGAAGAAGTCTTGACAAAACATTTACGAAGAAGTCTTGACAAAACATTTACGAAGAAGTCTTGACAAAACATTTACGAAGAAGTCTTGACAAAACATTTACGAAGAAGTCTTGACAAAACATTTACGAAGAAGTCTTGACAAAACATTTACGAAGAAGTCTTGACAAAACATTTACGAAGAAGTCTTGACAAAACATTTACGAAGAAGTCTTGACAAAACATTTACGAAGAAGTCTTGACAAAACATTTACGAAGAAGTCTTGACAAAACATTTACGAAGAAGTCTTGACAAAACATTTACGAAGAAGTCTTGACAAAACATGAAAACATATATAATTTGTGAAAAAGCGACACAAAAAGTGTCACCGGCTGGGGTTCGGTCCTCCTCTTGGGTCTTGGGCAAAATTTCTTATGGGCTAGAGGGCACAAAGTGCCCGGAAGGCCATCCCAAGAAAAAAAAAACTTCATTATACTCATCAACTTCAGGGCTAGAAGGCACGAAGTGCCTGGAAGCCCCACTACCTTTTTTTTTTTTTTTTTTTTTTTTTTACAATAAAATCGCAATTCATTAAAAAACGCGATTTTAAAAAAGTCGCGATTTTTCTAAAAAATCGCGATTTATATATTTAAATCGTGATTAAAAAAAGTGGCTGCGGTTTTCCCTAATAACTTGTACATAGGAAATAATTAATACATAAATATTTAAAAAAAATAAGAAGAATTATTTTTCTGCAGAAGCATTTGTGCTGACAGCAACAGTATGAACAGCATCCCAGAAAACTTGCATCTTCGAGTTCAATGATTGAGTGAAAGTTGCCTGTAATGAAAGAGAAGCTTCGATTTCTGTGCATTTCAATAACAAACAGTTTTCAACTTGTTGCAATCTTCGCTTTGGATTGTTTTGGAAACATTCCAATGGAGCAGTAAACATAAGTTCAATCAATACAAGTATCAATCTCGATTTCTTTCTCAATGAATTGAATGCAGGGCATGCCCAATCACATAGTTTTTGCATTCCATTTGTTCCTATTGTTTCAATCATTTCTTTAGATAATTTTAATGGAGGTGTAAATGGTTTTGTCACGTCTCCAAGAATGAAGCCGTAATCAATATGTAGTAATCTTCCATCTTTTGTAACTAAAATGTTGTTGTCATGTCTATCTCCAATTTTCAAGACATATGTCATTACAGAATAAGCTGCTAAACTTTCTGTGAAAACTCTGATTTTTTGAGCTTCAACCATTCCTTCTGAATTTGCTAGGAATTGGGATATTGACATTCCATCCTTTGCGATATCCAAAATGGCTTTTGAGTTATCAATGAATTGGCAACAACCAAAAGTTTCACTAAAAGCCAATGTTTTATACGCAGTAATATTCAGTTGCATTGATGCTGCTTTAAAGATATGATCCATTACTTCAAACAATTGCAAAATCAATTGATCTTGTCTCATATCATCTCCTAGTTTAAATATCACTCTATAATTTCCTCCATTTTCTAATTTGAAGTTCAAACAAACAGGACATAATTTTGATTTGAAAACTTTCACGTCGTTTTCATCTATTCCAACAACAAACTTGCTTGGATCTAATGGCAATCTTGTTGGTTTGAAATTCTTTAATTGAGAATGAACTGGATCATTATTTAATAAATCTTTGATAACATCTCTGATTGCAGCTGGTGATCCTTTGGGATGATTTTGAAGCAAGTTATATAACTTCTTGAATAATTCAATTTCATCATCAAGTTGTTGTTTAACTTCTCCTGTTAAATTTTTAATCATCTTTTCAAGCAAAGAAGAAAACTGCTCTTTTTCGACTTGTGCATTCCAATATAATGTTGATGCAAAGATTGGATCATTCAATGCATTGTTTACCAATACATCTTCAAGACCTTCTGTGTATTTAACTTTTGTTGCTTGCAAAATTTGAGGTAAATAAAGTAAGATTTCTTCATGTTTCATGTTTTTTATGCATTTAACAGCAAACTGTCTAACGCATTTTATATTATATCTATCTGTGAAGAACTCCAATGCGTATTCAGGATCAATTGGATCTCTTTCATTTAGAATTTGTTCGATTTCATCTGTTTCACTTTTATCATCCCAATTAACAGATCTAAACAAGGCAGGCATTAAAGCTTGATCCTTTATGCAGGCCATGAAGTTGTGGTATAATGTATTTACTTCTATTGGCTGCAGTTCTGATAAAGGTCCATATGTTTTTATTTTTTCCAAAATTTTTGACGTTTTTGAATCTTTTATAAATGATGTTTTGAAGCCTTCGCTTGAATGAGCGAGGTCATAATACAGTCTCTGATAAGGACTGAGAGAATTGAGTGATTTAGAAGTTGGCAACATTAATCCCTCATGAAGAATTAATGTTGATGGATTTGATGAAGGAGATTCAATGAAAACATGGACATATTGGGAAACTTTCGAGAGATTTGGTGGTTTTGATGGAGCTATTATAGATTTATAAAAGATTTCTGCATCTGATGGGTGAAATAATTTATTAATTATTTTTAATTGGGTATCAACGCATTTATATTCTTTATCTTTGCCTGTATAAAGACGTCTAATGTGTCTTGATAACTTTGTAGGCGGGGTTTCATCAAAAACTAATGGAAAGAATCCTAACCTTAGTCGACGAGTTTTTGTTTGTGTAAAAAGGCGTAATTGAGTTTGTCCAACGAATTTTGGTTCTGTTTGAAATAGTCTTGCATAAAATTTAAAGTTAACAATTGAGTCTGAAGGCAATTCTGAATAATAAATTGGAAATTCAATGTCTTTATTCCATTCAAATATGAAGTATTTTCTCATAATTGAATTTTCTGTAAGACCTTCTGGTATTTTTGGTCTGCCATATGAAATTTGTTCTGATTGTAAAATTATAGGGCAAGTTAAAGGCTGATCTTTGGATAATATCATGCATTCAGCCTCACATATAAAGGGAAGCGTATATTTAATATCCCAATAGCCAATAACTGCTTCAGGTGGTTGAATTTGAAAATAGTGAAATAAATTAAATCTAATTTGGTTATCAACATTAACTGTGAAGCTCCTTAATCTTATCTTAACGTTTGTTCCGTAGTTTGCTGTCTTTGACAGGCCAATATTGGCATTCTGCATATTTTTGTTTCAAAATATAAAATTAATGAATTGAATGAAATAATCGAATTTTCAATGCACATTCAATTAATTAAAATTGCCAAGATTTAATTATACAGTAACCCTAGAAAATTAACGAAGTTTACTAAAATTTTCAGAATAAAACGTATTTTTATTTTCAGCTAAAAACAAAGTTGTAAATGAATAATATAAAGTTCTTTTCGAAACAGGTAACTTGGCAGAAGACGCTCCTGCAGATATTTTTGCCGGATTCTATTTCTCCGAAGAAATCGAATTGAGAAAGTCCAAATGCCTGCTCAATATTATTTATTTTTACTACTTGAAATCTTATTGCTGATGCCTTAAATGGTTTAACTCTGATCTCAAAACTAGTTCCACTTGTCGAAAGAATTGTATTATCCTTTTCAGAAGTCAAGAGCTCCAAGTTAGAAAAGTTATCTCCGTAGTAAATATTCCATGAAACGGGATAAGACCAACGACATTCGGTATACGGTTTATTAACAATGCTCTGAAGAACATATTTCTCGGCTCTGAATGAATATGGTAATGAAAAATCAAGATTAAAAGCTTTGGAAAATGCTTTATTTAAGCAATAACCAACAAAAGGATTTTCCGAAAATAATCCAACCATATCTGTGTAATTACAGCAAAGATTATTTTCGGATACTCATATATCGGATTTGTCTGGGTAAGTAAGGTTATTTTTTAATGTCCGGAATACCCAGACATTATTTGGCAAACCCAAATTTTAGCTAAAAGTGACAGGGGAAAAAACGTTTAGTATTAAAAAAAAGACCGATGAGAGCTTCGTTCGAAATATAGAGGGAACTGAGAATGCGCAACCATTCTCAGGGAATATTGGATGCTATTCCCGTTCCCTCTGTATGGAAAATTGAGGTTTCAAAGGAGTTAAAAATAATATTTAAATTAATAATAATAATCTAAATTACTTCAAAATACAAAAAAGTATTGACAGCTAAAATTAGTTACTTTAGCAAGCTACAATACCTTTTACGATTATTGCTACTTCGAAATAAAAGTAAAAACAAATTTATACTAATTTACTTCAAAATACAAAAGTATTTGACAGCTAAAATTAGTTACTTTAGCAAGCCTATCAATACCCTTTTACGATTATTGCTACTTTTTCGAAATAAAATAAATTTATTATCAAAAACCTTTTTTTCTTAGTAAAAATAAACGAAATTTTTTACCTTATGAACTTTTGATGGAAATATGCAAATTTAAAATAATAAAGAAAGCCGCGAGCGAAGCGATCGGCTTAGTTCGAAGATTTTGATTCAAATCTTTGCTGATCTGTAATTCGCGGAAGCCGCGAGCGAATCGAGCGGCTTAGGTCTAAGATTTTGATTCAAATCTTTGCTTATATTCCTTAAATTCTTTATGAAACTCGCAACAGTTCCATAAAAAATTTTAAATTCTAAACTGTCGCAATTACCGATCGGTAATCACACCCTTCACGGGTGTGTCACTTTTAGCTAAAATTACCCCTACTCGACATTATTTTGATTGATGTACTTTTTAAAAAATGTTGCAATTGTTTGTTCTACTAGTATTCAATATTCGAACATAACCATAATCCCTTAAATTCGTACATTTATTCATATAAAGAATACGACTAATAGCTTAGTTGGCTTGAATTCCCAAATAAGAATAACATATAACAATTTACTATATAAATATTCGGACTCATATAAAAAAATATAACCTAACAATTTTAGAAATTAACATTAGATTTAATTAGTACGAAAACAATGCATTTATCGATATTATGGAGAAGATAAATATATATAAAACGGAAGAAGCATAAACCACCCAACTATTCAGACAAAGACAAATACATTTTTCTTGGTTCAATTCATCAAAACTCAGTATTGCTGAAATACAGTTGAATTTGTGTATCTTAAAGAGACATATACATCTCATATCATGATAAACAACCGTGACATCAATATTGGCTCTTGATACGAAATATTTCAGTAAAAAATAAAAAAGAAGCCGTAATTAAAGCATCAAGAGGCAGTTTCAAAAACATCTCCATTTAAGAGTTATCTCATTGATTAAACAAATAATTCAATGTGTTGCAAAAATTTATTTCAATTAGTTAACTAAGATTTGATAAAATTTTTTATATGAAAAGTATCTTAAGGGTGCACTTACCACTTTCTGACACTCTCTCAAAAAGAGATATACGGGCGTGAAGAGGCATAGAAAATAAAACCTTAAACAAGAAATTTGAGAGAATGTCAGAAAGTGGTAAGTGCACCCTTAAAAATTCAGGAAAATAAATGCTTATGCGCAAATGAATGATTTTAATTAATGAACTCGTCTAATGTTATATGAGGGATGATAAAATGCATCAGAATGAGGCCTTGTCTGAACATTAACTTCACAAATATATGATGAAAAGTGAGAAAGTTTTTGAATAGAAGATGTATTTTGAACATTATTTGTTGTAACTGATCCTGTCACTTTATCAATTCTATCACAGAAAGAATCTTTAACTGTAATTGAACCAGGCGAATCATAATCTTGATAAAATTCTACTCCTGGCCCTGTGTTTCCAAGAAATGAACAGTTTTCAATAAGAATATCTGCAACTACTGAACGCAATGTTCCAGACCTAGATTTATTTTGTTCATTATTCAAAACATTACAAAAAATCAAATTAATGTTACCACCAAGTAATCCTATAATTGAACTAGATGATGTTGTGTTACAAAATGATGAATATGTTATGTTACATAGACATACACGCGCTTCCAGAAATATTCCTGAGACATCTTCTGCTTCACAGAAACTTGTGTTGATTGATTTAACTTCGACATTTCCATACCTAAGACAATTTGTACCAGTTTTTTCTAAATTTCCGCATTCATAAACAGAACTTTCATAAAAATAATTTTTATTATTTGAATCATCAACTAATTCAGTATATGAATGATGTCCCCAATAAGAGTTTGTTTTTGATTTGTAGCCACATGTTCGGTATTGGACAATGGAACTTTCACACTTAAAGTAGATAGATCCACCATCTGTATTACTGCTGCAGTTATTAAATGAACAATACGAGTTAAGAAACTTATTATTTGCATTCGTAAAATAAATAGCACTTTGAGTTGTAATATCAATGAATATACAGTTGTATAAGAAACATTCATTTGCTTTTGACATTACCCCAACATTTTTACCTGAAATAACATCTGATTTTGAAGGACTTTCGTAAAAGCGTTCCCAAATACCATTTGAAGCTTGATCAGAGTGTAAAATCTTTATATTTGAAAAGGGATTTGGTTCTATTGTCTGTAAATTCTTTACAGAGTGTATGTTGGATCGATACAGTATCATAGTTATACTGAAGCAACAACATGCTCTCACATAAACAAATAATTCCTTCACTCATAATTACTGATTTTAAATCTTATTTTAAGTTCAAATTTCAAAACATACTATTTACTTACAGTATCATAGTTATACTGAAGCAACAACTTGTTCTCACATAAACAAATAATTCCTTCAAAAAAGAGGCAATAACGTATAACTAATATCGACAGAAACACAATGACTACGCAGCCTAGCTACGCTATCCTAGCAGCTAGGCTGCATAGTTATTGTGTTTCTGGCTTGCTTAACCCTCATGGAAGACCGATTGGAGATCTCCCGCCGAAATCACTTGCTGATGTGGATGGAGCAGCACTATGATTGGCCATATCAAAGGCTGCGTAGCATCCCAGCAAGTGGATAGTCTGCGGCGACCCCAGCTGTGGTCCACCATGAGATAATGGCACTTTTTTTATTTTGGCGCCGAGGCCGAATCTGACAACTTGGACCCTTTACAAAGTGTCAGATTCGAAACTTTACAAATGTCAGATTTGGCGAACCAGTCACCTTTGCCGGCGCCGAGAGTACCACATTGCGAGTATTCGGGGCCTTCGCAACCATATTGAGTTCCTACTGCAGCCATACCACTGGAATCTGTCTCACCTTTTTGGCCACCGCCTTTTCCTCCATAATATAGGCCATATCTTCCATAAGCGCCCCCGCCACCCCCTGAAATTATGATGCGGGAGTTTAAGTTTTCATTCCAGGCGCTTTTTTTAGTACGGAAATCAGAAGCGCCACCACCACAACCATCTGCATCATTAACACCTGTAGCGCCGCCATTATACGTTGCTAAGAAACTTTGAGTTGTGTTTGAGGTTCCTCCGAGGTGGAGGTAAAGCATTGTTTCAGCTACAGCAACAAAAACACCGGCAGAATGGCCGCCCGTTCCCCCTGGTATCAAAGGGCCTCGTACTCCATTTGTCACATTACAGCCTTGTGCACCCCAAACATCGAGCATATAGATACCTTGCCGAAACAAAATTTCATATGGATAGCAATTAGTCGCGACTTCACAAGGGTACTCAAAATAGAGTTTTCTGGGATTTGAAGAAGTTTCATAAACCTTGGATTGGATTCCATTTAAAACTTTGATATTACCATGGAAGAAAGAGAGCAATGAACTTCGGTTTTTTCTCTATCTATAGATACTGAAAGGAATGGAAAAATATAGTACTGAATAATGTTTTGGCGCATTATTAAAAAATGATATTAATTTGATGATATTTCGTGTGAAAACACACTCGAATGCACCAATGAAAAAATGACACTTTTCAAAACTAAAGATTGCTTAAGCATTGCGTGTCAATACTAAAGATTGCTTAAGCATTGGGAAAATCTCGTAATTATTGTTATATCCACTTATATCAGAATCATTATTATTACATCTGATTCATCTCATTAGTGTAGTTAAATATTCTATAGGATATACATGCTCTTAGGAAAGATCTCTAACTATTATCTGTCCTTGTAATGATTTTAAGTCTTTTTACAGCCTTCACAGCATTAACTTCAAAAAATGCTGTTTGGTTTCATTGTATTTGTAAATTTAAGTTTCATCTATGTGTGTCTTTGTGAGACGCTGAAACGCATTGATATCTTAGCATTATTTGCCTAAATTGAAGTTTTTATCGAAATATCTAAGGGAACCACTATGAATTTTGTTCTTTGTTTAATTCTGCATTGTAAACAGAAACAAATACTAAATGTTTCCTTCAATTTACAATTTTTTTTTATTATCGGTATTGAGAAATGTCTGAACAAGGATTGCCTAATTGCTACTTACTTAAGTTCGAGAATAGCGGTGTTGTTAGAACTTTAGCAGTGCAAAAGGTAAAGGATCAACAAAACGAATTCGAAATTATTCCGAAGCGCGAAGATCAAACTGATATTTCACAATTATGGATTTACTATCCAGAATCTATATTACTGCGTAATCTTAAGTATCCAGAGTGTGTTCTTGCAGATGACAAAACAGATGAATTCGAAACCGATAGTAAAATTGTTGTAAAATCACAAATTTCTCAAATGCATGACAATCCAACAGATTTTTACTTTAGAGATGGTAAAATGCTCAATTCTACTCTCAGAAAAGCTGTAATTTACAATAATACCGAAGATACATTCATTCTTGCAGCAGATTACCCAACAACATGCACTTTCAATAGAATTGAAATAGATGTTACGAATTACGCATTAGATAGCCCGCCTTATTACGTGCCAATTGCCATTCTTTTCTCAGAAGCTGCTCAAGAATATGCGATTACTCTTGATACAACATCGCATTTAAACGAGCAGGGCAGACCTCTTAAGAGAGAACCATTCAAATTTGGTGTAGATCCAAGGCAATATTGGTTTTATATCCCAATTTTGAAACATGCTTTTTATTCTTGCGCCGAAAGGAATCAAGTGATTGATGATATGTCTAATAATGATCAATTCGAGTCGACTGTATATACTCATCTTCACCACGGAAAGCCAAATCAACAATGGAAGGTAGAAAACCGTAATATCGTTGGAAAGGCCCATGAAAAGGTTATTACTTATATTGAAAAAGATCCAACATCGTTCAGAATGAAATCACGAAGTGAAAACGTGAATGGAATTCAATTATTCTACTTTTGCCCTTGTTTTACGCCAATTGCAGAGTCATTACCTATCACTAGAGTATATAGTGATGATGATAGCATAAGATTTGGAATGTCACACTATTCTGCTGAAGAAGAAGAAGTTCAAGATTATTATAACCCGAACAGCGGCGAAGATGATGATGACGATGACGATGGTGATGATGATGAAACAGATGATCTCAATTACTCTGATTCGTCATTTTGAGAAAATATAGAATTTTATTAGATAATATATTTTGTTTACATTTTTTTGTTTTCTTTTAACCACTAAATTGTATGTGTTTGAAATTTTATTCATATTCAGATTAATATTCTTTCATAATTCTAATAAATATTTAAACTCATTTTCCTACGTAAAGTCTCTCTATAGTTTTTCTACTTCTCTATCAAAAATTTGAATAAGAGACTTTAAGGAGGAAATGGAGTTTATACATCTCAAAATAATTCTCTTAAATAAAGCTGGATTTTGAAGTACATTATTAACATTAGCATAGAAACTGTTTAAAACGCATTAAAATGAAAATTATGCATTAGTAAAATATTTCATTCTCAATATTCCTTTGTTATAGTGATTTAATCTAATGTATTTAAATTTCTTAATGTTTCTGAGCTAATTACCTAGTTGTAATCGCATGATAAAGATTTTTTAAAATTTATTATACAAAAGCATTTTGTTCTAATTGAAAACAATAAGATAAATGTAATTAAAAAGAATTTTAAATAAAGTTAATAACTAATACAACAAAAAGAAAAATAATATTAATATTAAAAATGAGGAGGATGAGGAGTAGCATAGAAAACAGCGCATTCTGTCCTCACCTGTGAGAATAGAGTTATAATCTGACGCTTTGTATCCATAATTGGCTTAGGAGCAGCCGGTTGTGGCGGTGGTTGCATCACAGGCTGTTGAACTGGCTGAGGGGACACCTGTGGAGGTGGCTGTATCTGTTGTTGTTGCTGTACCTGCTGTTGCTGCTGTTGTTGTTGGGCTAATTGAGCTGCTTGTTGTTGTGCAGCCTTTTGTTGAGCGATTTGCTGCCTTGTTGGTGGAAGTGATGGTGGGGTAGGAGGTGGAGGTGGTGGAGGTGGTTGCTGTTGTACTGGAGGAGGCTGAACTTGTTGAGGAGTCATCGCCATTTGTTGCATTGGCTGTTGAGGGGTCTGTATCTGTTGGGATTGTTGTCTGTAGTTGGCCTGTTGCTGCTGGAGTTGCTGCATGTTGTTTGGTTGGGAAACTGGAAGGTTATGACTCGATGAAATTCTTGACATATTTCCAGAGTTCGATGCAGCTGGAGATTGCATCATAGAAGAAGTAGAATTTGACTGCTGCATATGTTGCTGTGTTTGCTGTTGTTGCTGTTGTGCTTGATGGTGCTGGAATCCGCTCTTCTTTGTAATAGTCTTATGAATAGGAATAAAAAGTCGTTCATAGTACAGCCCTACGTTCAGTTGCTTCTCCTCTTGGATAATTATTCGTGGCTCATAATTCATTATGCTTTCTATAAATTTGATGAGTTGATCTAAGAGATTTCTATCATTTGTACCAATTGAGCTCGTTGTGTCTTTAAAGTGTTTGATTTCAGGAAGTGCTAATGTCATTTCCCTTGCCATTTCGATAACGTCTTTTTGCTGTTGAGGTTGTATATTGCCACTTTGCCTAAACATTTCATATTTGTGTTGCAAATGCTTTTCTAAATTATCGGGATCAGCTGGTCCGCTGTTGCTCTTCTTCCAATCGGAAACTAATTCTTTTGCATGTTTATCAGCGTCTTGTTTTGAATAGCCGCGTGTAGTCAATATGTTGGCGACCTTTTTAACATAGGTTTGGGATATCTGGCTTTTGGTTGAGCTGCCTTTTCTTGGTCTATCCATTTTTTAAAAAAACTTTTTTTTTCCTTCTATATTGTCACTTTTCTATTTTTACATATCGTATATCAAAATTAATTAAAAAAAATCAATAGGATTAGATTTATGAACATCAGGGTTTGCATGCCACTAGCATTCTTCATAAAATCGCTAGCTTTCTTCATATAGCATATTTGTTATTCTAAAATCCAATCATACCAATTTTCAAACAATTTGTTTGGGTGTTATTTTCCTTAAAATTATCTTTCTGAAATCGTATTTAAACGATATCAATGTCATTTAACTCACACCATTCTCTTAATCTTATTTCAAAAGGTGCAGACATTCAAATGAAAGACAAATCAAATTGTCGAACTCCATTCCTTTGTGCAGCAATACATGAGAGGACGAAAACTATGATATGATATTGACATTTACACATGTTCAGCACTCCATCAACTATCGAAAAATAATTTTTCTCTTACATCTGTTGAATTTCTTGTTTCACATGGTGCTAATGTTAATATACAAGATACGAATCAATATACTCCATGGCATTGTTATCGTGGTATCGCTAAGATTCTCAAAAGCCATGATGGTAAAATTACTCGAGGGTGGTGAAATAAATTAAAGTTTGTTTCACTCTAATTGCATGTTAACCGACAATAATTTGGATATCCAATAAAAAAAAAAAAAAAAAAAAAAAAAAGGTATTGGGGGTTCCAGGGCTGCGCCCCTCTACCCCCTTGAAGATGCTTAGTATGCAATGAAGTATAAAATGAGGTTTTTTGGGGGTGTGGGGTCTTCCAGGCACTTCGTGCCTTCTAGCCCCTAAAATTTTTTGAAAGTCGTTGCTGTTAACTTTTCGGTAGAGGACTCAAAATAGTAGAACTATGTCCGGACAAGTAAGGGTCTATCGTCGCTACGTCACCAGGTCACCAGGTCACCAGGTCAATTTAACTTCTCTGAAAAAATGAGACAACATGACATTTTGACAACAGTCCAGGAAGTCTTAACAAGATAGGACGGTTATTTTACAAAACCGACAAGACCTTAACCGAGTAGTTTTCATGTTTTGTCACTTTTCTGTCACTTTTCAGGGAAAAAACATTTTTATTGTATATAAAATGAATTTTACAAAACCACCGTTACCCTTCTTTGGAAATAAGAGTAGATGTAAAGATATTCTATTGAGAGAACTTAAGAAACTACCGAATGGTCTAACATTTGTAGATTTGTTCGGTGGAAGTTTCTATATATCTCATTTGTGCCATACCGTATTCCCAAACTCAAAGATTATATGCAATGACTTCGACAACTATATGAACCGTCTCAAACATATACCAGACACAAACAAAATATTGAGTGAGTTGAAAGAAAAGATACCTATAGGTAAGATGGAACGTATACCATTAGATAACAAAAATACTGTCAGAGAGGTTTTGAAAAAAGCAGAGTATATTGACTGGGATAGTATATCTTCTAGACTATTGTATAGTGGTTCTATAAGAGTTCATGACATTGAAACACTTATGTCAAACGTTTTATATCTTAACTATACAAAGGTTTTCAAAGAGGACATAGAAAAATATACTGAGGGTATAGAGTTTGTGAGATGTCATTGGACAGAGTTGTATGAAAAATATAAAAACAAGGAAAATGTTTTCTTTATAGTAGACCCGCCGTTCTATAACACATACGATTTTCAATACCAAGTAGACTGGACTTTGAGAGACTCTTTAGAAACTTTAGACGTTTTACATAACCATCCATGCTTTTACTTTACATCCGATAAAAGTGGTTTGGAAACCGTTATGAGATGGTTAGAGGACATACATGGCTATGAGTTTAGATACGATAAGATAGAATATGAGAGAGGTCCTATAAACCGGAGAAAGTGTCATAACAAAGAAATTTTATTGGTAAGTAAATGTGGTTTGAAATAGGACTACTTGTTTTAGGTTTTTTCCATTGTGTCATTTACTTATTTGACGTGGCAGAAAGATATAGAGAATATGAAGATGAACCAATACCAGCAAATGTTCAGCATATGTACTCGTAAGAGATATTTTTATCTAATATTAAAATGGACGCACAGAACTTAGCGAATGCACAGCAACCTGGACAACCAAACCCAGAGAATATTCCAAATGAAGTTAGAATACAAACTGCAATGGCAAACTATGGTCAAGTGCCAACAGATGTACAAATGCAAACTGCCATGTCAAATGACGCTGCGTTAGGTTTGCCACCATGGTATGCAAATATGAGATGGAAAGAGTTTTATACAAACCCTGAAGTGGGATATAAACAACTCTATGCAGATGACGCGAACACAGGAGTTGACCCAGAGTATGTTTTCTACCAGAGGAGAAATAGAATGTATGAGCTCCAGTTAAAGAATGCAATGGAACTCAACAGGAAACGTAAGAGACTAGGCGGACATTAGATTTTTACATATAGTAAAATGGGTTTCTTTGGAAGAATAGGAAACTTCTTTCGAAATGTTGGAAGAGGTATATGGAATGGAATAAAATCTGTCGGAAGAGGAATTTGGAACGGAGTCAAAAATATTGGTAAAAGAGTAGGTCAGTTTGTTGGTATTATACCTAAAGACCCTGAACCAGAAGAACAAGCTCCTGTTATACAACAGCCTGAACCTGCACCACAGTCTAGTTGGCAACCAAATCCAACACCTCAACCATATTAAAATTATATTTTTACCGTTCGATAGTAGTTGTATATGAGACTAAGTTCTAAGTAAAACGCATGGTATAATGGAACTATTCTCTTTCTTCCATCTGTTGTAAACCATACTTGAAAGTCTGAAATACTTCCACTCGGTGGTTCATATAGCTTTGTAGGTTTTTCGTAAAAGTCATTTGCCAAGCATAAAAAAGAGTTTTGGGCGCCAGAAAATGAAGCATGAACGATAATAGCATCTGAGTCGAAAACATTTTCATATGTTCCATTAGGGTTTTCGACTTCATAAAAGTTCGGGTGTACTGGATATTCTGCAGGCTGATTTAACATCCTCAAAAACCTATACCATGCCAAGTTGTTATATTTTGTAGAAATATAAACGTTTTCTCCAAGGTCTTCTATTCTATTGATTTTAACAGTTGCATTTTTCCTGTCATATAAAATATCGAGATGGTACTCTCCTTCGTCAATGTTAAACTGGTTTGCATATTCGATATAGATATCGTTTATTTTTTCTTGAAAAGCTTGAAGAGTTGTTTCTAAGTTTACAAGCAAATTCACTTGTAAAAGTTTTCCCTGTTCAAATTTCTCATACGTACGTTTTTCTTTGTTATAGTATCGAACTTCAAAAGCGACCGTAAATGGGAAACCATGTATGGCTTCTGAAATGAACTTCATTCTACGAAAGCCAATAGCTTTTGTGACGGATGGGTCTCTTAACCATCTTAACGGGTAGTCAAAACGATAGCCTTCATGCTTTACGGTCTCTGTCTCAAACTTTTGACCGACGTTAGTAAAAAGTTCATCTAATGGTTTAGTTGTAGCAACTCTTGAATTTTCTTTTTCTATTGAAAGCATATTTTATCTAGAATAAAAATGTCGAAAGAAACAGCGTCTATGAGAGAAATAAAACACAACCGACAACTCATTTTGCAAGCTCTAAATAAGAACACAACAAACTTTTCAAACTATTCTAAGATATCTGAGTCATTGAAAGAAGGAAACTTAAAACTGACGATAAACCCAATGACAGACGAGTTTCTATTTCAAGACAACAAGAACCATACTGTCTGTGTAAATCCAACAAAAGGAACTTTAAACGAGAAACCTATAGATGAACTTCTTTTGAAAGCAGATGTTGGCAACAAAGCTGACAAAGAGTATGTCATTGAAAAAGTTCAAGAAGAACATGACAGAGCAGATGCAACATATGCAACGAAAGCAGATGTTGACAACAAAGCTGACAAAGAGTATGTCATTGAAAAAGTTCAAGAAGAACATGACAGAGCAGATGCAACATATGCAACGAAAGCAGATGTTGACAACAAAGCTGACAAAACATATGTTGACAATAAAATGTCAAGTGAAGTGACAAGAGCTGAAAACGAATATTCTAAAAAGACTCATACACATACCATTGCAAATATTGCAAACTTACAAGAAACCTTAAACAGGAAAAGTGACGTTGGACATACACATACCATTGCAAATATTACAAACTTACAAGAAACCTTAAACAGGAAAAGTGACGTTGGACATACACATACATCTTCTGAAATAACAGACTTAAACGTTAGCCTTGAAAAGAAAGCAGATAAAACATATGTCAATGAAATATACCAAAGTTTAGTTGGAACAAAAAATATTGAAACTATTGTTGGTGACTTTTCTGTCAATGAAGAAAATAAATATTTTAGATGGCAGTTGGTACAGTCCTTAGAAAATGGTACACGGTATAAACTCATTCCGAAAAATAACAATGAAATGTATGTAAGCTATAAAAAGAACGATGGTACACAAGTTAAAGTTCCATTAGACAACAACTGTTACTTAAACATATATGGAGACGAACAAAAGAAATATTTAAGAGTTTATGAAATGGCAGATATGACATTGCCTGACCCAGCTCCAGCACCATACTATTATGACTATGGAGATGACGAAAGAACACCACATGTAGATGAACAAAAGCTAACATTATATTTAGATTTTTATAGATATAAAAGATATAATGCAATAGAAAAAACGAGAATAGTATACTATTATACAGATGACAGAAATAAATATTATAGTCAAGACTTTACCTACCCTGAAAACATAAGATTATATTATAAAAAATATTCTGACATGAACCAGAAGAAACCTGAAATAGTTGCACTATATTTTAAGTTCAAAAGAGACAATCCTATAATATCTCATATGTTTGATTTAATGAACCCAGTAGGTTCTATTTACACGTCAATGGAAGCAAGAGGTCCTCAAGCAATGTTTGGTGTTGGTGCATGGGAACAAATAGTCGACAGGTTTTTGTATTGTGCAAACTC